AGTCAGAGGCCAAAAGGGCTTCACCGAACCCAGGCTTGCCCAAATTCAACCCAGCAATCCACGACTGCTCTAACCTGTGCAGATAGAAAGAAGAAATGAATGGTATCAGTCACCCGCTGTCTAGCCTGTTGGCCAACACACTGCAATGCAAACCAAACACATCCTTGCAAAGTCTTCAGCTCTTGATGCCGCTTTAATATTTTTGAACAGATCTACCCCGGACACAACCCTTAACAAACCCTGCAAAGCATCCTAACTCATCACTTGATTTTTTCTTTTTTTTTTTTTTTTGAGAGATGGGTCTTTCAGGAAATTCATATATCAACAGTTATCTGAATGCACACATATGAAGGAAAGAGATAACCAAACTCCAGAAACTATTCAGCATGCACAGTAATAAGCAAGGAACTGCTCCCCTCAATAGACACACCCAGTTTCTTGAAAAGGAAATACAAATCTGTGTATTTAACATCTCTCCGCCCAAACAAGAACTGACTGTAGCACAACACATTACCCCGTTGAAAATCTTTTGGCATATCCCGCGCAATCGAATGCATCACTCTTTCAGCACCTATTTATAACGAGGGACTAACAAGCCCCTGGGTTACCAGATTGGTTGCTACGTCTTTCTCCAGGTGCACCAGGCCAGCGTCTAAAAAAACCCAGCTGTGTCTCTCTCATACCGGCAAGTCCACGCTGATGTCGGTGCCGTCCAGCAAGGATACTCGACACGTGATGACGGATTTCGCATCTCCCGCCGCGGGAATGTGGGTCGCAGCCCTCTGGGCCTCCCTCAGCCGCTCCTTTTCGAGGTGCTTGCGGATAGACCGGCGTCCGAGGGTTCGTCGAAAGAAACTCAGCATCTTTGCTGCTGAGCCCGAGAAAGAAGAAGAAAGAGCAAAGGTTAACATTTCCATGACAAAAAAAATCAATCAATCAATCAATCTAACGACGCGCAGCGACCAAACCGGACGGGCTCCAGGAAGCTCAAGCACGTACCTGTGGGGCGTATGTACACAGGTATGCCAGAAATCATCATATTGTATTACAGACGCATCTCTCTCACGTTACGTAATAATACAGGTATACATACTGTACATACGTATGAGCCCGCGATCGGGATCGTAAGCGACTGGTTGCCAGACACAGGTAGGCGTCCAACCGGGCCGGGGCGCACCTGCTCACCGCGCCCGTTTGGCAGCGTTTGCCGCGCGCGCCTGGTATCAGTCACAGCGCAGCCGAAACGAAACGCAACGCAACGCGCCGGGCCGCCAGCACCTCTCGTCTCGTGTCCTGTCGAACCCGGCGCCCCGCGGGAGAGGTACGGACGGACGGATCCGCCTCACAGAAGCATCATCCCATGTGTACACAAAGCGTGCACGCTCACATACGGGCACACACGCGGGTCCACGGACAGGCCCACTCACCTGCGGGCACGGCGCGGAGACCCGGGAGGCGGCTGCGGCTCGTGGGGCGGCGGCGGCGGCT